TGCTCAGACTAGTGCCACTCCAAGGCAAAGGGACAACAGGAGGACCAGGGTCCTGGAGAATGGGTGCCAGGGTGAACGGTGGTTCTGGGACACAGCCATTGCTGGAACCCTGGACTGAAGCACGGAGGGAACAGAGAAGAAATACTCAGGTCTCTCTCCTCTTGCCTTCTGTTCTTTTGTTTAAATTTTATTTTTTATTTATTTTAAATATATTTTTATTGGTTTCAGAGAGAGGAAGGGAGAGGGAGAGAGAGATAGGAACATCAATGCTGAGAGAGTCATTGATCGGCTGCCTCCCGCACGCCCCCGACTGGGGATCGAGCCCGCACCCCGGGCATGTGCCCTGACCGCTGACCGGGAATCGAACCCCGATCGCCTGGATCCCGGGTTGATGCTCAACCGCTGAGCCACGCCCAGCTGGGCTAAATTTTATTTTTTAAAGTTTACACTCAGTATTATTTTCGGGCGCACAGCATAGTGGTCAGGCAATCGTACTTACAAAGCGTTCCCCTCGATATTCCCAGCACCCACCGTCCAGGCCCCGTTTCTGTTGCTCTGTGAATGATTGGATGCGTAGCAGTTCTTTGAGTTGTTACTATTCTTTCACCCACAGGGTTTTTCCCCACAATGGCTCCATTTTTTAACAATGACTAAAAATGTTTTTACCCCCATTTAGTACATATTCAAAATACCCACCATACTTTGAATTTAAATATACAGGTATTAAAGCAAATACATGATAGGAATTATGTTCCCAATTCAGAGCTCCTTATCTGCATAAGAGGATTCTGTTGTTCTAAATCTCTCCTGTGACAGATGTGGTCTGCTGCCTCAGTCAGATGTAATAGTAACTTCAGGATTAGTTTGCATATTATATAAAGTGCATATTGACTAGCAGAAACACACCAAAGAAAATTATTGAAATGGTTGACTGTATCTCATGCATGTACCAGCTGAGCAAGGAGATGGAAAGAAAGAAAATTTACTTGGCTATAAGTGACTGCCTTCTCAGATTCTTCAACAATGACTAAACCACAGGCATGTCACTTTTAAAGGAAATTCATATGTATTAAACTTTTTAAAAATCCTTGCTGGCTGGTGTGGCTCAGTTGGTTGAGTGTTATCCCAGGCACCGAGAGGTCGCTGGTTCAATTCCCAGTCAGGGCACATGCCAGCTTGGGGCTCGATCCCCAGTAGGGGATGTGCAGGAGGCAGCTGATCAATGTTTCTTTCCCTCTCTCTCTCTCCCTTCCTCTCTCTCTCAAATCAATAATAACAATAAAAACATTTTTTTAAATCCTTGCTTATAAATCCATCTAAATGTCCACTAATCAATTAAACAAATTATTTAGTCTCTACCAGTATAGTGAAATACTACACAGTCATTAAAAAATATTAGCATTGAATCTGAGGAAATGTTTACCATTTAGCAAGTGAAAAATTCAGGTTATAAAACATGATAAAATAATCACTTTTGTGGATTAATAAGTGCATACATGTACACAAACATACTAGAGAGGTGTACTAAATTTTAACAGTGGTTACCTTGCATCCTAGGAATGGGTTCCTTATAAATTTTTTCTTGTGCTTTTTTCTACTTTATTTTAAAAACTCATAGTGAATATATAAAAGTGTTGCATTTTTAAAAAGCAATATTTTTAAATACTTTAAAAATTCTTGCTCATAGTTTCAAAATCGGAATACATTTTTAATTGTATTCCTTTTACCAACCCTCCAGAGCTGACAGCTTTTGACTCACCCTCCTTTGTGGGAACTACATCCTGGATTCCAAGGAAAACTTTAACTGAGACCAGGAAAAAGAATGATAAAGGGAGAGAGTCCAGAATTTTTAAAGAATGTCTATTTTTATGTACAGTCTACTTATTAGAAATGATTTTTAACTTCCTATTTTTATATCACAAAATAGTTTCTCTTTTGCTCTGTTAACAGAATGGGAGGCATTCCAGCTAAAAGCCATAGGGGAGAAAAGCTACTTTTATTTATGGGTATTATTGACATTCTGCAATCATATAGGTAAGAAATTGGGAGGGGGGGTAGTCTTATCATTTCAAAATAAATCAACAAAAGATTCTGAAAATTCACCAAGTAGGAGTGACATCATATTCTCATTTTATTTTTCTGCCTGTTTACATTAGGCTAATGAAGAAGTTAGAACATTCCTGGAAAGCTCTTGTGTATGACGGGGTAAGTGGCTCATTATGTCCCATATTATACTGTATAGTTTTCTGATTTCTCGGAGGCGTCAGAGTGTGTCCGGGAAGCTGTGTCACTAGGCTTGGAGAGGAAACAAGGGCCTTGATAAACTCAGAATCAGGCCTGCAGATCGTTCAAATCTAAGAACGAAGGCAGAGTAACTCGGAATAGTTACTCAAGTAGAGGACATGCAGTCTGGTGCTGGGTATGGGCCAGGAGAACAAAAGGATGCCTTGTTTCTACATGAAATCTGAAGGGCCCAGTTCTGAGAGGAGAGTGCGAGAATGGAGGAGACTTCTCATAGGCACTGGGAAGACCAGCAGGGCAGTTAAACGTTCTCACAAGACCCAGCTACAGAGGGGTTTGAACCTGACTTTGATGGTAGACAGCCCGGGATTTGAACCCTGGATTCACTGCTTTACTAGCCATTTACCCAGACACATTGCTTGTTATTTGGCCTCTCTTAGCCTGCTTGCCCACGGGCAAAGTGACAGCACCTTGTACCTGCCTCATAGGACCAATGTGAGGATTCAACACAATCCCTAACACATAATGACATGGGAAGGGAAGGTCTTTCGGTTGGGATGGGCTTACACACGACTAAAGCTGGCTGATAAGAGAATGTCTTTTGGGCCCAGAATTGGTATAGTAAGAAAACAGTTATTGAGAAGCAGCCTCCCCC